AAGGTAGAGTGCATAGTTCTGCTCTGCCCCTTCGTTGAGTAGAAACAATCTTAAACAGCATTCTCCTGCAAGACATTTCGCTTTATGTTAGGAACTTAGAGTAAGTACTATTTTATGATAGCTAAAAACAATAAAACTATAAAAACCTTTTAGAAACTATAATTTCGCGAGTTTAACACACGCCACGCACTAACTTGCAGCCGCGGTGCGCTCCCTATCTGTGAATAATAGTAACTGATCAATACGTGTAAATTACTCGATGTTGTTTGTTCTAGCTAAAATAATTCACTATGAATCTACATACTACTAAACTACCCCCATCGCATAGATGGTTGTAATTTTTTGTAATACGAAATTAACCCAACCTACCTAAAACTAGAAAAACAAAAACATAACATCGTTATAACTGCGTTTATGTACATGCTAAAAAAAATAAGAATAAAACATTATGCATAGTATTTGTGTTGTATCATTTGCCACTGAATAGGTAGAAAAAAAACCCTTATTTGTATTGAAAAATATAAGTGGTCCTTTTTTGTAATTACTCATATAAATATATCAATTTTCCTGAGAAATTTGGTCCGTCGTATTATGTTTTGAACCCTGATTCGCTGTATAATTAATCACATTTAGTAACGTTATCAAGTGTTATTCAGATACTTGTAGTGCCTAATCACTATTTCTCAAATTAAATCAGAGTTGTACTGTAAAATAGCTGCGTGGAGAACTTTTATAATGAATCGCCATTTTATTTTATTTTTAAGTAAATTATTGAAACATTACGTATATAAAATGCCCCATTTTAGTAATTAATTACAGTTAAAAATATATTTTTTGAGTAACTTAATGACTTTTGAAAGATTAGCATAACTGTTTCATCCTAAGTATTTTTGTCACTTCTAAAAGTCTTTATTTATATGTCATATACTATTACTAAAAATAAATATGAAAGCGGCGCGTGAAAAATGTTGAGATAATTTATATGCTATTCACGATAAAATAACTTGCGCAGTAATTTTTTACGTGTATCATGGTTATAATACATAATAACATTTAGGTACTTACCGATTCGCATAGTTCCACTACCATCTTTATTTTACTAAAAACTATGAAATTTCAAAACAAAGCACACACTGCACGATTAAACACAACTTTTTTTCTAATTCACAACTTAACTTTTAATTATGTTTGAAAAGTATTACGCAAATGAACATAATCCTGAATAATTTTTGAATAACAAAATCCATATGCATTTGTCTGAATAAATACGAAATAATAGCTATATTAAAGTGATGACAGCTTTTTTTCAGACGTTATTAAGTTAAGCCTGTTATTATTAAGCAATTACCCAAACTTTACAGCTATATTATACAGACTTATGCATTTAAAAATGTGCCCAAATTGCTTGAGTAACAGTTGAATAGACGTTCACTCAGACAATATCCAGACAATAGTTACAGCTTATAGTTTCGCGGATCACTAGTACTCAAACGTTATTCAGCATGACTGTGTTACTTGGGTACCTATGCATATTTATGTAAATTTTTATAAACATATCCAAACTAATATTATAAGTGCGAAAGTAACTCTGTCTGTCTGTCTTTTCTTCACGCCTAAACTACTGAACTGATTTCTGTGAAATTTGGTACGTTTGATACGTGTGAGAAGACATAGGATTGTCACTATTCCACGCGAACGGAATCGCGGGCAAAAGCTAGGTTTTTATATATTATATTATTATGTGTTTTGTATTTAATCAATAAAATTTATACCAAATTTCTATCTTTATAAGAGTTTCCAGTCCACAAGACAGGTATCCATGTTGGTATCTTTATATTTACTAAAGCTAAAACCTAGGCAGGCAATTAAGTAGACAATTCTAGGCTATCTAACAAATTTGATGACGTCAAGGACCCAACATAAAAGCACGACATGGCGTTAAATGTTTCATAAATTAAATAATCTTGGGACACGAACATTACTTAACTTAGCTTCCTAGGTACCAGGGTTGCCGGACAAGCGCAATGAGGCATCGCGGCCTCAACCCTGATCAGGAAAAGGAACGGGGGGGTTTTTAGTCAGTAAGAGTCTGACACTCCCTCCCTGCCGACCCCGGGCGGGAGAAGTGAGAAGTAATTTGATGATTTCCCCTCACAAATAACCTAGGTAACTTTTGAGTAGGAATGAACGTTACTTTATCGGCATTATATGCATAAACAGTAGGTCATACGAAATTCGTTTTCTTTAAACTATATTCGCAAATTTTTAGTACCTAGTCTTCTTAATATTACGATCGTCTTTTTTGTGTCATATGCGTGTTCGCACGGATGCCCAATACCTCGGCGTTCTAAAGTAATGCACTTTCCAACACATTTTTTAATTTATTAATATATAGATCACTAGCTCCACGACTTCGCACACGCACAGGATTTCAAAAAACAGCAGAGTTTAAAGCGATAGCTCGACTAAAATACACAAAACAAGTATAATTTATAGCCTATAGCAATAAGGGACATTGCAGCTATCTATGTATATGTGAAAGAATTTTTGAAATTCTACTAGCGGCACATACAAACTTACAAATTTTACCTCTTTATTATTTTGGTATAGATTGTAACAAACTTCATTTTTCATCATGTAGTTTCCACAACAGTCGTCACACAAATATTTTTTATGATCTAGCGTTTTGACATATTCGTTTTTTGCACTACTATGTAGTTTCATTAAGAAGGTAAATTTTTTTATGTAATGGGTCGGCAAACGAGCTAACGGATTACCTGATAGTAAGCAATCAGCGCCGCCCATCGACACCCGCAGCGGAGGAGTTACGAGTGCGTTGCCGACCTTTTAGGGATTAGGGTTTTGGAGATTAAGGGATTGGGAAGGGATCGGGCGAGGGGAAAGATTGGGCCTCCGGTAACCTCACTCACACGGCGAAACACAACGCTGTGGTTATTTCACGCCGGTTTCCTGTGAGGCCGTGGTATCACTCCGGTCGGGCCGACCCATTCGTGCCGAAGATTGGCTCTTCCACACACAAGGTTTAGAAAAAACAAATAGTTTCCCACAATACACGAAAAATATTGTAAGTATGTAACAGATGTAAACTAATTGGCCATAAATAGAACAATCGCGCTTTATCACAGAATGACCCGTCTCAAGGACAACTGTGTCATCGGACCACATCGTCTACACTATGTACTTACATACATAAAACTGGTTATTTTCATAAGTTAATGGAAGAATACAATAAATAAGCATACAAGCCAACATGCATCCCAACTGCATATATAGATAATCGAATTATGCAATAAAATAGTTACGCAGTCGTTTCAAACGTTAGATATGTAGTTGAAGTTTTTACGGAACTCGAAATAGTATCTAAAAATACTTTTTTCCGCATAGCATTCCAAATGAAAAAGATGCGTTGTTAAATCCTACTATACTACTACAATAATAAATGTGGAGGTTTTTGAGAATTTTTGAATGCATGTTTACCCTTTACCGCAAAAACGGCTGAACTGATTTGGTTCAAATTTAGTATGGAGATAGGTAATACCCTAAATTAACACATAGGTTGCTTTTATCTATCAACTTACCACGCGATCACAACCGCGGGCGGTAGCTAGTATGCATGTGTATATTATTAAAACAATAAGTACATTAACTTTTTTACTTAATACATTAACTTAGCACGTACCATACTCATATTTTATCTACTTAGCTCTTAATTATGGTATGTATTCTACATATAAGTGTTTCCATAGTATATATGGTGCAGACAACCATAAAAATAGAGCATTTATGGGTGATAAGTGAATTATGCTTGTCCCTCGATATACCCGATCTACATTTGGCTTGACTCCAACCAATATAATCACGCTCTTCATTGGCCGGAATTCTTGTAATTCGCACTTTTCTAAATACGATTGTCTGGACGGTCTCGCAGTTTTTGATTTATCGTAGAACATAATTCACCAGTACGCCACAGTGGTGAAATTATATTTTCCATAGAAGTCTATTTTGACATTGCCTCAGTATATTGCCCACAACTTTTGTTCTTATTTTCCTCGAAACGCTTGAAAAATCTGACCTACCAAACTGCCACTTCCTTAATACTTGATAAGGGTCGTGAATCCATTATTTTATGACCTTTCAAATCTCAAGGTTTTGTGTTATTTGATGGATTGATATTGCCTCTGAGCTTATGTCAAAATATGAAGCAGTTGTGACCTAAATCGCAAAAAGAACTGTAATTTTTATAATTAGACCTTCATGTAAAAGTTCAATTGATTGATTGCGGCGTGTTCAGACAATACACACGGAAATAGATTGGTATTATCAACACCACATTGTATTTATTGGTTTTGGTAATTTTTGTAGCTCGATCGATAATACCAAAAGTTATACAATATTCATTCTACCTATACATGTAAGTACCTAAATGGTAGAAGTTTTGACATTAATTGCCATAATTTCAAGAATAATCGACACACCCTGGACAATAATGGACGTGAATTTATTAGTTAGAAAAGAAATTTCCTACTTAAATTAAACATTAACTCTCTTAGATAGAAATAGAAAGTATATAACATTTTGTAGGTGCGTAATATTATATATATAAGGTTTAGACCTTATAAATCCTATATAATAATATAATCTAACTACTACTAGTGTATCTCATAATAAAAGAAGACTCCAAAGTGCAATTTCAGACTAATACTTTGTGTCCAACTTGTGACACGTTAAATATGTTTAGAAATATTCTCATAAATTGCATTTAAAAAATCTACTATTATTCATAAGATGACCGATGGATGTTAGCAATAAATACTTATGATCTCATTTACGAATAACCCGTCTTATCAGACGTTCAACGTAATGCAGAGTAAACAGATGTTTCTCAGTAGCGGTTAAACTTTTATTATCGCTAGACTGGTTTGTGCGCATTATTTTTATCGAACCAGAACCAGAACGGGACTGTTGCGAGTTAGATTTTGTGTTGTTACCATTTAATCTCAGGTACGGGCATTATTGAAAAGCTTTAAATTCGTACTGCGAACATAAATCGGTGTGTCGTGTATAAGCTTAGGTTGGCGGGATCGAAAATCTGCTCAAACCGCACGTGATACCACCTCGGTAGCATTTTTATCTGGCATCACAGTCGCCGCGAGCATGAAGTGTGAACACCGGAGATTTCCGCCGATATAAATCCCGGTACGCGACACCCTTACTTTACAGCGCCGCATCCCCAGTGCAATCCGTGAATTTGTGGAGTGGAAGCCGCCGGTAGTGCATCGCGTCTGGAATTTGAACACGCCAAATCTTGCTACCAACAACGTCGAACTCTTAACGCGAACCGTCACGTAATTCTGTCTATGTATTTACAGGTTTGACACTGCCTGCGACGTCACGTTTTCCTTGTTTCTGTCGTGGTCTCTGATTCGGTTACTTCCTTTATCTACCAATTTACCATTCCTCGCCAGGACAAGTAGACATCCATAATTTTTATTCGATTACTCGACAAAAGCTGCTGCTGTTAGAGTGGCATTTCGGGGATTATTTAAGATGGTGTTTGTAACGTGGTTGTAAGCTGTATCTGACGTGAAGGATTAGAAAGCTATTAAATAGACAATAGGAGTAAGAGGAATGCTAGTGGACGACAGAAACGCGGAGGTGACAGGCGGGCCGTTAACATGGCCGTTACAGGCTCAAGTGATATATGAGCTGCGAAGTGGCTTGGTGCCGCTGTCACTTCGCGTTTCGCCGCCGCTTCGCTCTGGCAAAAAGATAAAAAGGATTCCGAAATACGATTCACAAGTGGGCTGCCGGAAATGGGCAGAAAGTTACCGAGCACGGCTTTATGTCGGGCAATATATCTCTCGTATCGCTATCCAATTTCTGCTCTATGGCATGTAATATCCCTCTAGGGAAGCTTTAATTTGAAACTCCTTTTAATAAACACCATTCATTCTAACCTCGATTTAGTGGGTCTTTAAAGGCCTAAAGGTTTTTCTTCCCTTTGTGCCTGTTACTTTACCATGCGTCAGATGGTTTAGGGGAAGGAAAATAATTGTTTATGTTCATGTGAAGGGTCGTGCTAATATTAAACTTATTTTATTTATTTTATAAAGCTGCTAATAATTTAAATATAAATTATTTTCCTGGAATTAATATAAAAAGAATAAGTAATTTTTCAAACAATTTTGGAAACACTCCGGTCTGAATTGATTTTTCCTTATAGTTTATTCAACTTGTACTTACTATGGATGAAGTAATGTGTAACTTGCGTGACTGGCCCGACCGCCGACCTCCAACCTTCTTTGACCTGCGACATTGAAACACACCCTACGGCTCTATTTCTATCACTTCACCCATGGATTTATTTCCGTCGCAAGCTTTTTAGTCTTTATATTTTTATAATAGTTCTAATTTATGATACTACATCGCTTATATCGCATCGCGGATTGTGATAAATCGCTTGTTCAAACTTGACTAAATAGAATTTAATTAAATCATTTTTTTTTCTTGTAATGACAGTAGTTCATAACAAAACCAGGTTATGTTAATGATCTTACGAAACATCAAAACAGGTAAACTGTAAAACGAGTTGCAGATAATCTGAACATAATACAAACAAATTTAGCAGTTTCATTCTGAATAATCGACGTGATATATTCAAAAACGTTGGTACAGGTGCAAAAAGCAATTCAAACTCAATTTGGAAAACGTGCGCTATTCGTAAACTATGTAGTCCTGAAAGGAATTAAATATTCTAAGTCGATCTACAGAGTACACAAGCGCAGCGCTCCCACTAACTGGATCTGTCGCTTCTCCTGTTTTCAATAAAGAGAAACAACTTGTGTCATATCCGCAAAACGTTTACTTACATAGTGGAGCGCAGTAGTTGGTAACGAGGTTATACGAAACAGTTTCGGGCGAAATTGCTCGGGGAATGTAGCTAGGTGTCATAAAGTTTCAGCAAAGCTGTCGGACAGACGTGTGCAGCGTTGAAATACACGTGTCGAAGCTGTTTCAACTTGCTTACGTTTCAACGACTACACTCCTGCCTTGGTACTAAGTGTTCCACTAATGAAGAGATGCCGTGTTGCCCTCAAAAATCGAATATCCAATATTTGTGGGACCAATTTTTGCTTATCTTATTGCATTTCTGTTATTGAAACTCACGCTTGTTCTTGTTCTTTGCAGGTTGATCATGGATTGGAGGACGGTGATCTGCGCCTTTGCATTAGTTTACTATGCTGATGGGTTCTCAAGTAAGGATTTGTTTTGATATTATATAAAGCATTTTTTTCCTCATTAAAGTGATCTTGCGTAAAATGTATGTACTAATAAATTTTGACAACTACACACTAGAACGTGGAGCATTAATATAAACATTTCCTGTTATTACATACATGTGCAGTCTAATCGGCCTTCAACCTTCTTGTCTGCGTAGCGAAGAGTCACTTGTTATCGTGTCTTTAAACGATCTTCAGTATCTCACGATATTTGACAGCCTTACAGTTTTTTGAAAACACGTACGCAAAGCCCCGAATTGCCATGTTATGGCTCGATTCCATTACCTAATGTTAGCATAAACCGAGCATCTGACTTGCGGAGCTACAAAACAATGAGTTATGATCCTCACCGTGATGCCCTTTTTATTTGTGTACATTATTGCATGTAAAGTAAGCAATGGAATATTTTATTTCCGGGAAAATTACTTTTGTTCGTTAGCTTAAAATATTTTATGTAACATTTTTTTGCGGTTTTGTTTATTTTGGCAGGCCTACCTAACTAGAAAAAAATGATGCTAATTGAAAGAGGTACATGTTTCACGTTGTATACATGTAATAAAGCTATTTGTTTTATTTAGAAAAAAATATTCATAACCGTAATAATTACGACCCATTATAAATAAAGGCAAAACTGCGGAAAATCTTGCTTTGAACCTCATTATTATTTCAAAGCAACGATTCTATCTACACGCGTTATCTCAGAAGGAATATGATATGAATCTAGAAAGACTAGAACTTCCTCTTTTACAATCCGCTTTAAGACAACTGCAGTTGTCCCGTTTTCAAGTGATTAAAGTCGCGTCTGGGAATTCAAGTGAACTTGCGAGTCTGGATTGAAAAGTTTTAAAGTAGTTTCTAATATTCTGTTTCCCATTTCTAGGAAATCCTGAACTTCTATCACTTGATGCTATGTTGGATACGACGTACGAATAAAAATTACTTTCCGATACGATGTTTGTTCGAAATTTTCCTACCCTTCTGTATTGTAAGATAAAGTGCCTGTCTACCCTATACCTGAACTACAAAAAACGTATTATGATAGAGTACATAAAACCTACGTAGTGGAAAACAATTCGATGGCAAAGTTTTTCGGTTCGGTAGGCTTTTATTACGTGTGATATTGACTCTCGAAGACGACGGCGAGTCCAATCTAAGTATATAATCTTGTATATGCAAATGATCCCTATTCCCTTACAACCGAATTCTTTACCCGGTCACGCCTTTTGGGTTATAAAAGGGCGAAATTCTCGTAGACACAGCGGAATAAAATATATTCATACGATATTACATAAATATGGAGTTTTTTTTTTCATTTTCAACCACGTTTTACCTATCTAAATCCCTTTTATTAGGTATTCGAATGAATGGACATGAAACGATAGTAACTTTATGTACTCTGTAGATATTTATACCTCTAAAAAGTATTTACCAAGTTGGTTCTGGAAAAAGTTAGTGCTTAGGAGGTTTGTACATAATACCTACCTATACACATCAGAAGATATGTTCATAGAAGGAAATTAACTACTTCTTTATCTGTTAAGGTACATTGTAAAGATAATTCAGTGAATTGGGCCCGTTCTGCCATTCTAAGTTTCTTGTATTTTCATTTATTGCCAACAGAATTCATGTTAACTGTATATTTTTTCCCTAAGATACCTTTTCTCTGTATCAGTTCATGCGTAAACCAGAAAAAAATACACAAGAAGTTTTAATTCAAAGAAGAAGAGGAGACGTTGCCAAAAATACACTATGCCTCGTCTCCCATAAGATACTTGATATATTTTCCCACTTCTTTGAAATGTGACCTTGGATGTGTAACGTAGGGCAACGATCGAGTAACCATAATATTATGTGACGATAAACACAACATACCGCTTGCCAGAAACTGGTACTTTATTAAAATAATATTATTTTTAGGATTTAAATTATAGGAAAGGATTTAATTAAGACATGGTCTTAATGTTATACTTTTTTATAAGAAGACGTACTTATGTCCTTATTTTACCTACCTAGTAATTTTAAATAAGAATTCCACTTCCAAGATATACAAAAACGTGCCTAATCATGATAATAAGTATTTAATTCATTTTTAACATTGTGTTCGTTTGTTTCAGAATATGGACGAACCTGCAAGGATATCGGATGCCTCAACAGTGAGGTGTGTGTGCTTGCTGAAGACCCGTGTACCTTCGGGCACACCAGCAACTGCGGAACATACCCGACCTGCAAGAAGAAGTCTCAAGTAGAAGGTAAGCACTTTTTTTAGACCCTTTCATTTAATTTAATCAACCTTTCAGTCGTGGTAATTAGCACACAAAGGGTGCGCATGCGCTTGGGGTTTGATGAATTAAAATCGTCACTTTGGCATGTGTGAAATGTGATTTATTATTCACTTTAAGCTAAAATTTCGTAATCTTTGTTTAAGGATCTCACGTGGAACCAGCCAAGCCACCTGCACCCAAACCACCTACAAGAGATTTCGACAGTCCTCCAAACTACAACCCACCTGCCCCTCCCTCTAGTGATACGTCCAGCGGTGGCCATTCACCTTACGGAGGCAGTTCGCCCTATGGAGGAAACTCCCACAGCGGCGGTAACTCACCCTACGGTGGAGGCTCACCATACGGTGGTAACTCACCCTACGGTGGAAGCTCACCTTATGGAGGAAGCTCACCTTATGGCGGAAACTCACCCTCCGGCGGAAGCTCACCCTACGGCGGCAACTCACCCTATGGTGGTAATTCACCATACGGAGGCAGTTCTCCCTACGGTGGCGGCAGCAATAATCGCGGAGGTTCGCCTTACGGAGGAAGCTCGCCTTACGGCGGCTCCTCTGGTGGTGGCAGCAACCCATACGGGGGCAATTCTCCCTATGGTGGCTCGCACTCTAGCTCCGGCGGTTTCGGCAGCGGCGGTAGCGGTAGCCCCCTCGACAGCATTTTGAACACCTTGAACAAATACGCCAACGCTGGCGGCGGCAGTGCTGGTGGTAGTTCCGGCAGCGGCGGCCTGTCCAATGTCTTTGGAAACCTTCTCGGTAATTTATCAAAGAACGGAGGTTTAAGCAACTTTTTCAACACTCGGCCAATCATGGAAAATCCGAATTACTCCTCATACAGTTCGAATTCGAGGAGTTCTAACCCCCAATCTTACCCATCAGGATCTCAGCCCGTGTATCAGCCACCGACTCAGAACAAGAATTACGGACAAAGTTATAACCACCATAACGCAGCGACCACGCGCAAGCCCGTCCACTATGGATGGAACGTTAGGTAAAATGTTTTCCAAGTCCTTGTAGTTTTCGAGTGGCGCCTCTGGTTACTTTCTTTGCCCTGCACAAGCATTGCTTACAAACCCTTTGCACATACGTTTGATTTCCGTAAGCTTTGGTGTTACTAATTTACTTTGCCAATTATTTTCCGCTGCACAGTAACTCTGTATTTAAAATTCGTGCGACCTAATTTTTCTGCTATTTTTAACTATTAATTCTATTTTAAGAACAAAATATCAAATACTCTGAAAGAACTAATCACAAATAATGTCACAGAATAGAGGAATGAAAAATGCATTACTCATATTTTTATACTTGTAAATAAGATAAATATTGTCAGAAATATGTACCTATGCCATTATTATATTGTAAATATGGTGGAGGCTAATTTCTTATGATTGACAGGACAGCCAGAGACTATCCAGATAACTTGGTATAACAAAACATGCATGAATTGACTGGACTTTTGGTGAGGTATAAATTGTACCCATCCTTTGAGGCTGTTTATTACTTGTAACATTGTAATCAACGTTTAGGATGAACGCACATATTTTTATTTGCCGTATGATCTGTATTTTCATGCTAAGCTATTGTAAGAATACTCATGTATATTTAATTTATTTCTGATTCGAATAGAAAGTATTTTGTTGGGTTGCAAACGAAAAAAACATTTTTCAACATAGATTTTTTTCTAATTTGTTGTCGACAAACGTTCTATACAAACGCTCTCATATCGTCAAGTCAACTCCAAAGTCAAATCATAAGAAACGGCTACATCCATTTTGATCAGATTTTTTATTCCAAAAGTTGTAACCCACAAAGAACTTTCCACATCAGATTTACTCATTACGTATCACAAATATTAGTGCCATTTCTAATGTCTTTATATTGTATTTTCCTTTCAGTGTGACAGTGGTCTTGACGTACCTGATACAGCAATATGTCCAGAGTATGATTCGTTCGTAATTAATTACACTTTATTTGTTACAATTTTAAGTATATAACATGTAATGTTTTACTAAGAGATTCAATGTTGTTAAACATATAATATATTTTAAATAAGCTTTTAAATGAATATATATTCATGTTGTTGAGTGCTACGTAATTATATGTATAAAAGAAGACATTTTAATAAATTGATCGCCTTATGTCACTGCGGCGTTCAACGGGTAAAGCATTTGTGATAAAAAGTTATCTACGAAAACATATAAAAACACATGTATTTTAGACATAATAGAAACATGTTTTTAACTTTATTTATATACACAATAAAACACATATTCAATGGTTGTATATTTATATTTATTAAAAAATATAACTTTTTATGTATAAGTCCACGTCCATAATATTCGACAAGATTTCGGATCTGAATATTTCAAAATATACTTTGAAAATTAAACCAATGGAATGTACGAAGTAATTAAATTTTATTTTATACCTAAAACCCATAATTATTGTTACCAATAAATACTGACTACAACTTTCCTCTGAAAAATAAATTAACTATTACTAAAACCATGTAAAAATAGATATTATTATCATGATATTAAGTTACAATTAAAGAGAACCGTTCACAACATAGAATTGACTATAGGTACCTACAGGAAACTTCTATCCACAATAACCTACTCGAGATTACCAAAAAGGTTGAAGTTTAATTTCTGATTCATCGGGCCGAAAAGCGGTCGACAACATCTACTAATACGTCTATGTTACCATTATAAATATATCGAAATAAATTCTACCAGGCACCAAGTGCTAGTGAATAAATAAAATATAGCCGATTTTCCCAGTAATAATCTCAAATAAATACTCTTACAGAAACGTCTCTCCTCTTACATAAATCTAAAAAACCCGTTAACACAATCAAACATTAACAAAACGTTAACAAAATCAAAGTAAAAGATTATGATTGTAATTGTAATAATTATAATGAGATTCTTATTGTAGGTAATATAAATATACGAGATTCTTATTGTAATATTATATGAGATTATTTTTGTTTTATTTAGAAATTATGTGACAAAAAGAGAATACGATAGTTTTCAACTAGTCAAATTCAAAACTTTTATCCAAACGTCAAAAACGATACTTTTATATGAAATTTGTATGAAAAATTGAGCTATGACGTCATAACTTTTTTGCGTCAAATAGCATACTTATTTCTTAATAATTAGCTAAAAAAAATCTAAAAATTTGTGTATCGATCGATCGATGAATAAAAGTAGTTAGTTTTCAATATTTTATTGTATTGAAACGTCGAAATAATTTATTTTTGACCTAGGAAACTACCCAAATGTGTTTGTTACTAGATTATAACAGCTTGCTATATTGAATAAAAGAACGGGTTTTTTAAGAGACATAAAATATCTAAATAATAACAAAATATAATTTCTAATCGAGATATTCCAAGTATGCGATTTTGCTTGCTCGGAGAATAATGGCGTAAAGACCTAGAAGGCTTTACTCCTTGAGAAGGTACAAAGTACAAAACCATAATTATTTTACACCGATTACGTGCATCGCAATAACTATGAACGAATCACGAAGCAATAATAAATCCTCATTCATACTATTTATATAGGTAAAACATATGAAAAAAAAAATATCTCTGCTATAAATATAACCAATAAGAGAATAATAAAAAATGTTATCTATTGAGATAAATAAATGTCATTGAAATAACTGAGAACAACAACATATTCGAATATTCAAGATCTTATTTCGTTCCTAACAACCTTTGACAGTAAAAATTGTTAAAAACTATGTCATAACACTTATATTCGAGTTGAGCTAACCACGATCTAAGGTACTACATAATATATTAATTTAGTTGCTTACAACACTTTGCTTTGTTTCAATCTCATTATTTGTTTTTCGGGGCCGTTTACTTCTATGTAAGTTGTTCAGTATCATACCTACTAAAAGGAAAGCGAGCCATACACCATACCAGTAGTGATATACCGATGAATAGTATATCCAAATACGATCGAATGTGAGCAGAAGGAATGCAGCAGCTTGATACGACTCTGAATGGGAACGCAGGAACCACATTATGAAGCCGAGGATTTTCTTTTTCTGTAATAAGAGATAGTTTAATTATTAAATGTCCTAAATATAACAATTTTAATTCCCGTTTCTCTAAATGGTAAGACCACATTTATTTATTTTGGTCAATGTGAATCTCACTCTGTCGCAAACTTCGCGCTGATGGCGACTGTAGGTACGTGAAAAAATCACGTGCACAATTTATTGATCGAATAGCAAAAGCGAAAATAAGTATAATTTTATTTCTTAGTTTAAATATAGGATTTATTATTTCTGATTATACACATACTACATTTTTTAAGACTAAATATAATCTCACCTGTCCTGTAGCATCTTTATAGTAGAGCTTGTAATAAATATCTTCAGCCATTACATAGAATGGACAGAAATATATGCAGAAGAAGTAGCCAGCGTGGTAACCGTGCCAGATTACAGACACAAACAATGCTGCGTGAATCCTAAAATTAAATCAATCAAAAGAAATTATTTCTTGCTTGATGATCATCCTTACGCAGTGTTTTTACGTTTCATATTGTTTTTTTATGCCATAATTTGGCATACGAGCATTCGGATTACCTACCTGATGGGAAGCAATCAGCGCCGCCCATGGTCACTCGTAAAACCAAAGTAGTTACGACAAGTGCGTTGCCGGCCTCTTGTAGGTTATTAGGGATTTAAGGATAGGGGATTTGAGGATTGAGGATGAGAGGGGAAAGGATTGGGCCTCCGGTAAACTCATGGCCCCACAGAAAACCGTAAAACAACCACAGCGTTGTGTTTCGCCGTGTGAGTGAGGTTACTGGAGGCCCAATCCCTTGACAATCCTTAAATATCCGAAACCCTTATCCCTTAAAGGCAGACAACGCACTCGTAACTCTGTTACCTACCTTGTCCGCGTTGTGGATGTCCATGGGTGGAGCCGGTTGTTTACGATAAAGTAACCCGTATGCGCGATTTCCGACCTATACCATAAAAAACCATCTTCATGAAACTTACTTCAAAGGCTTTATAGGGAACCTCTTGTAAACCACCATGGCTACCCAGTATTGCACAGCCTTGTTCCATACTTTCATGGAATCTCTTAAAGTAACCACTGTCTCACATCCCCACACATCCATTGACTCAACAGTGTTGAAATCATATTGAGAATTCTTTGCTTCTTCCTCTGACCTGTAAGTACAAGACAATTTTAAAATATTATTTATTTTCTTAATACAAGTATAATATTGATAATTTTAAAAGAATAAAATTATGTTAATTCTGTTTACAAGATTATTATTTCTATTGTATGCTAATTAAATATGAAAAATAAATTATGATGAATAATAAAAAACAGTTTATAAAATTGTCAGTTTGTTTAGTTACTAAGTACTAAACTGATTTTTATAAATTTTCGGAAATTTATCTAAATTGGAAGCTTATGAGATGAGTATAAAAATCAATCATTACAAAATCGTAAGGAATATAAGAAACTGATTAACATACATTTGCTTCAACTTTAAATATCCAACAGTAGGTCCATGGCCTGTCCTATTCTTGCCCTGGACAGGATATGCTCCAAGACCGGCTGAAGTGCACACACTCTCAGCCAATGTCATCCCAGAGTAAATGCGCTGACGAAACGCCGCAAACAACGCCCATGGATACAGCATTCGGTACACAAAGTTTCTATTATTATGATCTTCTGTTAAAATATACTGAAAAATAAATGGTATCACAAAATTAAACAATTAAGATATTAGTTAAGAGTATGTATGAAATAATAGAATCCATATAAAAAATTTAAACTATGGTTAAATTTAAGGCTGAATTATTACATTGACTTACAGACAAGCAAAACTATTCTCATAGTTTTTTTTGTTGATTTTGTATGTGATTATAATTTTTAGTAATTAGATTATCCTACTCATAAATGTGACAGTATAAATGGATGGATGGATATTGTTACTGTTTAGAAACAAAAGTACTAAACGGACCTGAATGAAATTTTGCATAATGATAAATTATATTTTGGAATAACACTGATACTTTTAAAGCAGGCATTGCAGGAGAAGCCGCTGGCAAAAGCAACACTTTTTAAGTAGTTGTGTGCTAATAATGCTAAATATAAAATATTTAGTTTGTTTCAATGCATACATATTTATGATATTGCATGATTATCAAGCGAAATCATTATATATGAGGACAATTTCAGCATTAATAATATTAGAAGCATGCTTACCTCTAGGGGCCAAATGTTAGACAAAGCCAAGTACAGTGAAACATATAGAGGGACCATTCTCATAGTGTTGATGGTAAAACCAAAACAATCGACATACTTGCTGTATGGCAGGTGGAAGTAATCATCAAATGTCCTGTATCTGTAGTAGGGGCCTGGAAATGATTATAAATATTATCTATACTAATATTATAAAGAGGTAAAATTTGTAAGTTTAAATGTAGGGGGTAATTTTTGGAACCACTGGTCGGATTCCCAAAATTCTTTCACTTATTGAGAGCTACAATGTTCCCGAGTGCTAAAGGCTATAAAACATCACGCTACGATCAAATGGAGCCGAGCAGCGAATGAAACCGCACGGGAGTAGCTATTTTTTTATAAAATAAATAGGTAAGTACTCAAAAATTATTGCAGTTGCCAGTTGCCAACTGTTTTTTTTTTTCAAGAACTACTTGTCTATTTGCTATTATCCAAAATAAAATGCAAAGAGTAGGAACATCACATACCTTGATTAACAAAAAATATTATTTGTACTAATTGATATAGTCAGTACTATTGTAAAGGAAAGCAGTATAATTATAAAGTTACCTGTTAGAAGCCCAATATAATTGAAAGAATAATGAAATAAATCCTGAAAATCAGGATTAATTATTTCCAGAAAGTCATCATCTTTCACTTTTTCTTCTTTTGTCTCTTTGCTCTCCTCCTTTTTAGCTTTTGCTATAGCCAGCCAGGAGCCATTGATTTCAAATGCAACTCCTACTACTCTGAGAACTATTATCATCTCAATGAGATTTGTTTGTCCTGAAGATAGTGGAAAGCCGAATTTATCAGCGAGGCGAAAGAAGAATAGATATCCAAACATCAAAAAGAAAGTAACTATATGGCAGTATCTGCAAATAAAATAAAATAAAGAAAGTTGTATCTATTAAATTACAATCAACCGGAATATATATATTAACAGATAAATTATAGTGGTTGCATGTATGCATGCATGAATTGTAAACAAAATATTTTACAGCGGTCAAAGGTAACAGATAAAATTAAATTAATGAAGAAAAATCTAATATAACTTAACACAGACTCACCTTACGGTCGCTGTTTTTATAGCGATTATTCCCAATAATGCGGACAAAATAGGATGAAGAGCACTATATCCAGAAACAATAATTATAAGCAGTAAACCAAGTATACTGCCAGCCCATTTCTTAGCCTGCACTGACTTCAAAGCTCGGTAACGCGGCCCTACCCCTATACAAAACAGCAACAATGATAAATAAATGAAATCATTTCTGTTTTTTGTAAGAAAAGTAAACATTTTTCGGGCTGTAGTCAAGTATATTAAAACGAACAAGAACTTTAGTCACTATTAATCAGAAATAAAACAACTTCGGTCGCAAGTCACGACATCAAGAATAACAACAACGCAAGTTAACGCAACCAAACCAAACGCAACGTATAGAAATCAATTTGACAGTCTGTTGTGTGAGAGTTTGACATAATCAACAGAAAGATAACAAAACGTAATGAACAAAACGACATATAATTGAAAATAATAATTAATCATTTTATTTATTTGATAACTAATATAAACAAAATAATATTTGTAAATAATTTACAAATTAATCACTTTTTTGTTTGTTGTCAGACAGTATTTAAATTTCTGAACGACTCAGACAAATGTCGATGACGATGTTTATTGTTCGTGTCATATGTGTCACTGTCAATGTCAGAAGCAGATTTTATTGATTTGTTTCGTGTACGGTTTTTGATTATTTCTCTTCTAATTTCTTTAAAAACACTAAATAATCAATGAAACATATGCTTTTGCTCCAATAACTACATAGGCTGAAGTGGCCAAAATGAACGAAGAAGAGAAAACAGCAATAATACAAAACCTTAACCTTAGGGTAGGAAATGATATAAATGATTTAAAAAGTACATTACAAATACAGGCCGAATTAACAACCAAACGAGATTTACTTTTAAAGGATGTAAGTATTTCTTAGTTGACACTTAATATATCCATCATACTAGCGAATCGGGTAATGTTCTTTTGTCCTCAGAATAAGAATCAAGAAATCATTCGCCACTATGTCTGTTCACTTCACTTCCTTATAAATACTTAAATTACAGCTAAATGCAGCCAACGATGAAGTACCACAAAAACTAGCAGCTGCTTTAGAAAAAGCAGAACTGAATTCCAGTCACATTGATCAATTAAAATGTAAAAGTGAAGAATTAAAAAAGAAAGTAGAAGCATTCTTAAACAAAACTGAACCATTGAGAAATGAGTTTGATAAACGTTTTGCTGCTATCAACAAGTTGGAAGAGGTTTTAATCTACTTGAAATCATTTGAGAAAATTGATGACTTGAGGTGAGTGATGTGCATTTTCATGTCTCTACCAATCATGGGATCACAGGGTTCTGGTCATTTGGAATATATAATAATAATTATTAAAAGATTCTTGATGTATTTAAATAATTATAATTTGTTTAAAGAAGTGTACCCCTTGAGATTGTTGATAAATAACAAAATATGGCCAGAACCAACCTTTGAAATAAATTTAAATTTTGGTGCTACCAATAAATTCTTATGGAAACAATAATGATATCCTCCCTGGATCTTTTGTTTATATATAGCATAAAATCCTTGACTACAACAAAAAAAAACCAATTAAATGTTGGCATTCTCAAAGAAGTGATGACCAAAATAAATAAAAAGTATGTTTTATTCCAGTAAGCAGATGAAACAGTCTAATGACGATGAGCAGTTGGTCCTCCTGTATTCGGAACTCAAGAACATGTGTATACAGTACCAGAAAGGGCACAGAGCCAGCTATGTGAAGGAATACACACATTACTGGCATAATGTACTAAAGGATAAACTTACCAAGTAGGTAACATAAGTCGATCTGTAGTATTTATTTACTTTTTTTAAGTAGTTGTTTACCTTGATAGCCATCATGTTAAGGTGAAATAATATTATAAGATGCTATAGTTTTGTTTGTTATAGCAGAAAACAAGTTTTTTAAACATTATATTTTTTTAAATAGTTTTATATTATATGTTTATAACCTTATTATTTTCATGTAAAGTTGAAAGTTTTGAAGAATTATATTTTTTTAATTTATTTTTACAATATTTATGCTGTAACATATTTAAAAATACTGACATTGGTTAATTTGGTATACTTTTTCCAGAAATTACGAAGATGTATTAAAGCTTCTAAAATGGCCATTCTCCGCTCCACCAGAGAATCCGCCTGCACCCAAAGAAGTGTTGGTGAAATTCAACAGCCTTACTAAATACCTTTTCCTTATAGAAGAGCCTGAAGAATTAGTGAACAATAATGTTACAAATGAAGCATGGCAAGGTAATGTCTTCTAAAAGTATTATTTTTTTAGTTAATATAGATTTTAATGTCAGTGGGTTTTTAAAATCAGAGCATGTGGAGAGTATAGTATGTAGAAATTGATAAATATTATTCATGAGCCATTGGAAAGGTGTATGCCAGAATTGTATTGTTAAACATACCATGCCCCTGTAACTCCTTTAGATTTACAGGTGTTCATGGGCATCCTTAATAAGATGGCTCACCATCATATGACCTTTGCAATATAGTTTATTGAACCTATCGCCCAAATAAAGTAAACCTTGATCAAAATAGCTTTTTTTTTTCTTCAACAGAAAAAGGTCCATGTCTTCCAGTAAGAGTGCTGCTAAGGCCTCTCAAAAAGAGGTTTCAGTTCCACTTCACGGGCTCCCGACAAACGGCTCGCATTGACCGGCCGGAGTGGTTCCTTACACAAACCCTCACTTGGATTAAGAACCACCAAGGTTTTGTGAAGCACCATGTCCAGCCCATCGCTGATAAACTTGAACTGAAAAATGTTTATGCAGTGGTATGTTTGTTTTTTTTTGTAAAAGCATAATAATATAATATTTTCACAGCCACAGTAAAAACAGCCTTAGTGTTGTATAATGTTCCTAAAAATCTATCTCTGTCCTAATTTACATCAAATTCCATTCATTACTTTTCATGAAAAAGTGATAAACCAAAGTTACTAACTTTTGCGTTTATAATGTAACTAGCTTTTCCCGTGCCGTACTATACCGTTCATCGTAACGTGATGTTTTACAATCTTCCTGGATAAATGGACTCTCCAACACAATAAGAATTGTTCAATTCATACCAGTATTTCTAGAGATAAACGCGTTCAAACAAACTCTTCAGCTTTATAATATTAGTATATAGGGTAGAATTTTATGGAACATGGCAGGCTACCTGTGCCCTTTAAGAGGTCGCAGATGCGATCAAACCGACTAAAAGATCTTGAGATAGGTTTCCGCATCAAATAATAATTGTATTCTTCGATTTTTTTTAAAGAAATAATATAGTGTTTGAAATTATGTATCATTCACGGCGTAGATACACCCTCAATTACATGGGTATTATATTGTAAACATTCACTTCTGCCTATGCATTCGATAATCAAAAGGTGTAAGGTATGTTACCTAAATTGGATACCTTCAACTTTTTTCACAGGACGAATTCAATGCCGGCCTCATAGCGTTAGCAGCAGAAAGACTTCATACAGTACTAGCATTGTATCACACACAAAGCTCTAAAGGCGAGATAGCAGACGTGGATGCGGCGTTCGCTCACGCCGTGGACGAAACACTAGGCTTTCATAGAGAACTAGTGGAGATTACTGGGAAAGATATTAATACTGTGCTCTCAGTATTGACGAAAGTGGAAACTTTCTTAAGATGGCAGACTGTGGAGAAGAAATGTAAGTTTCATATTATAATTATGTAAAAGAGAAAAGAGGTTGGGTTGGATTTCAAGTTGATAGAGAAGAATATAACAGAGCTAATTATATCAACCCTAAGTATAATAAAGTAGCTTGGGAATAGGACACAAATTTGCTCACTCGCTCAAATATTATACAGTTATTTTAAATATAACATTTCTTCTCGATCAGATGCCCTAGCAAAGATGGACGAGATCCTCGAGTCTCCACAATGGAGTGAGGGTGTAGGTTCAGGCGCTGGGGCAGCCACGGGCGCCGCGCTATGGATACCACGCGCCGCTGACTGGTTCGTCACGCTACTACGAACTATCGAGGACAGATATAAATTACTACCGCAACCGGGACATAGGTAAAAATAATCATAGCCCCGTATTAACTGATAGTAAAATTAAGTTTTTTTTTGTGATAAGTCGGCAAACTAGCAATCGGATTACCTGATGGTATTAATCAGCGCCGCCCATGAACACCCGCAACAACAAAGGAGTTACGAATGCGGATCTTTTGGAGATTAGGGATTTGAAAATTTTGGGATTGGGGGCGAGGAAGGATTGGACCTCCAGAAACCTCCCGCTCACAGCAAAACAAAACTCTGTGGTTTTTTCACGCTAGTTTTCTGTGAGGCCTTGGTATCACTCGGCCCAGCCGACCCATTCGTGCCAAAGCATGGCTCTCCCACACTTCAATATCATAATTATTCACTGAATCACTTGTACTAAATTGGTATAACGTCCCGAATCTGCCGATAGAACATATTTTGCTGTAATGAAAACTTTTGAATGAAGAATATTGAGAACTGATTTATTTTTAGATAAGCAAATATAACATCTATATCTATACCCATAAAGGTTAAACTTCCTCGAACTGCAACTGGAACTGGTAGAAGAATGGCGTATCCGTCTCACTCAGTTGTTGAGTGCCGGCTTAGATTCCCTTCACGTGGATTCCTTCCTATCGGCGGATGCGACGTCACACCCAGTGACGGCTGTCATTAATGCTGCGCATCATACAATGACTGTATTGCTACAATGGGCACATTCTTTGGTAAGTATAATAATAATGATAGGCTTATTGGTATATTTCGTACTTGAGTGAATGACAAGTCTAATTCCAGTTTTGTATTGTATTCTCATATACCTAGGTTCATATTAGAATTTCTTTCTGCTGACCTATAACTGTAAAAATAATTAACATACACAACATAGTGCGCGACAAAATAAAACATACTTTCCTTTTAAAAAAAAATAAGTTAAAAACAGATAAATGCTAAATTTGTCCTAAGCTTATAGTATTACTAAATGATTGTTTAATACTTAGTAATATTTGATTTTGTATCACAGCATTACCTGCAACTACATTTCTACCGGCGTCAGTTCCACAACTTCACTCAGCAACAGCATCATGATGAAGAGTTCAGTGAGGAGACCACAGATACTGATTACACTGAGTCCGATGATACACCCGTCAAGAAGAACAAAGGTAACACTCCAATGTGGTCTTCATTTCATTCTGGTTATGTGTTATTTTCGTGTAACTTTTTGTTATGAATATCTGTTTTTGTTCTGTACAATCTTAATTCAATAACTCAAACTGTCTCCAACTGGTGATACAGACCTTATTTCCACCGCTGGCAGTTTGAAGCTACCAGTTTAAAAATATAAGATTTATGAAAGAACAATTTATCAAATATATTCAATATTAAAAATTAACATACTACATCTGGCCATCTAGCCACAGATAATAAATATTGTATGACGTATGTTGTGTATAAGTCAATTATCTTTTAATTACTCGTCCATATATGTACATATATTTCGACCAGCTACCGCGCGGTTTCACCCGCTGCTTTTCTCATATTGATTGCTGACTGAACTTTTACAAGCCTTCCTCTGTAAATAGATTGTCAAAAACAAACATAATTGTTAAATTTGAACTAGTATTTTCTGAGATTAGATTGTTCCAACACAAAAAATACAAGCAATTTCTTGATATTTTCTTTATTGGAATCTATAAAGATGTTTTATGTTTCAGAAATTTCTGCACAAGCATTATCTTTGATGGAAGTGGAGTTGCAAGCTAAGAACTTGGCGCTCAGTGAAGTGTCTCGGAGGAACTCACTGGTTGTTGAGCTAAACCAGTATGACATTGTGAGTGTGAAAAAAAAGATTTTATATTTTTTTATAAAAAACTAACAAAACCCGGCGAGCTCCGTTTCGCCAGTAGTAGTATTTAAAAAAGTTGGCGCTGTATGTGAAAAGAGGATATCCCCGCTTTTCCGATGAAAATTTTCCTGGATTTTGCTAAAAGCTTCACGGAGCCCGAGACCTTTCCAACGAATGCAAAACCGTGGAAATCGGTTCGTGCGATTTCGAGCTATAGCGTCAGGAAGGAAACTGCAGTTTAATTACAAATACATTTAAATTGCAGATTAACATTATAACTTGGTAATTTTAAGAAGTAACGTTTGTGAGAATGCTCCATGGGCATCATCACGATCGATAGTGATACCCATTCTTTAAAATTGCCATACAGCCATACGAATAATTTTTAAAACAGCATAAAACCTCCATGGATAAAAATTACAAATTATCAATATATTTTTCCAGTGCCGTTTCGTTACGTTTTCATCTACTTCTCTGACATTACAAATAATAATTTGTTTTAACATTCTACTTTTGCCACGCCATAAAGCCTAAACAATATTTTTTATTCCCAGACAATGCCCATAGCTAACCCAGCGGTGGCCGAGCCTTTAACAGGCGAAGACGAGGCCGAAGAAGCGGGCGTATTCGCTGAAGCTCCCGCGTTACTAGCGCGGCTTAGAGACAGTGGTCTCGCGTCTCTAGCTGAACATATATTGCTTGAGTTCAAAGCCGGCTTGAAGGACTATAAGCGGCAAAAGTAAGTCTCTTATTCTATCTTATATATAAAAATGGATCGCAAAACATGTTGGTAAGCGCATAACTCAACAACGCCTGGACCAATTTTGCTAATTCTTTTTTTGTTGTGTTTGTTATTGTCAGGAGAAGGTTCTTATCAAAGAAAATATTAGAAAAGTAGAGGGGAAGATTAGAAAAAAGTGAGTGACCCTTTGATAGCGAAATAGTTGGACCCGTGCGAAGCGGGGCGGGCCGCTAGTGTAATAATAAAAATATTTTTTGAAAGATCGAAGTTTCTAAGATCCACTTCGAAGGTCTGACAGTAAATTATTTTTATGTAGTATCTTATTTCCTCGTTCTAAGACATTAGTGAATAATGAACTTTTTTTTAAATTGGTAGTTTATCTTAGTTATTTGCTTTAATTAGACTGCACGGTTGGCGCGGTGGCTGGGCAACTGGCTGCCGCGCAACGTGTCGCGGGTTCGATTCCCGGACGGAACAACTCATTGTGTGATCCACAGATTGTTGTTCCGGGTCTGGGTGTGATGTGCATGTGAAATTGTATGTTTGTAAACGCACCCACGACACAGGAGAAAATCAACGTTTTTTTAAAAAACAAAAGAAAAAAAATTACTCTTGGTATATTTGCCAACGCGTTTCTTACTCCAATTTTTTAAGGAGGCTTAAAGAAATATTCCCCTATCTATGCAATATTCTGTTAACTACACCTTGAATAATATACCTCGTAATTTTAAAATAGCTTTTGCCTTAAAAAGAACCTGATATCACTTATGTTAGGTTAGGTTATTTCAGACTATAATCAATCTCTGTGCAAAATATTCAAATCCGTCAATAGTTTTTGAGTGAAATAGTAAAATATATACATAGTACATACATACTCAAAAACTAAAAATTTTAGTAAGATTTAATACATATTATAAACCAGAGCGATGGTGGGCTAACTCAGTAGAGCCTTCGATGAATGTAAACATACAATTAGGTTGTATTTTTGCACAATGTAAATGTGACTTGTGTGATCCCGAATCCGTACTTAAAATATAAAAAAGAAACTATAATGATCCGCTTTCCCCCCAGATGGCACAGCCTAGTAGTAGTGGAGCAACTAGCGCTGTGCGTGTCTAGTTCGCTGTGCCGGCCGCTGGCGGCGCTGTGTGCGCGGCTGGCCCGCGCCGCGCATGCGCTCGCGCCGCCCCTCACTGCCAGGCTCAGGGCACATCTTGCTGATATCGTCGACAATTATATTTTCGAGGTAAGATCTGTTAGTCATGATAATCAACAATTGGGTAGTTTCCTAGGTCAAAAATAAATTAATTCGATGTTGCAATACTATCAAATATTGAAAAATAACTATACTTTTATTCATCGATCGATCGATACACCAAGTTTTAGATTTTTTAAGCTAATTATTGTGAAATAAGTAAGCTATTTGACGCAAAAATATTATGACGTCGTAGCTCAGTTTTTCATACAAAATTCATAGAAAAGTATCGTTTTTGACGTTTGGATAAAAGTATTGAATTTGACTAGTTGGAAACTACCGTATTAATGTTTATAAACTTTCGTTGATCCGCATAGTCGTACTAATGTAGGTAATTTCTCACCGTTATCTCGTATGATTTCTCTTGGCAACTCCATTCGCTGAGACACAGATATCTTTACTGGTTCTATAGCCCCAGTAAAGCCCAAACTCAAAGTATTGTTTAATTGACTTTTAAATTAACCAAAATTTAATTTATTTGTTTTTTTGTTTTTACTTGTATTCTTTTACTATACTCATAGATTTTCTTTCTTTAATTAGTGTGTAAGTATCTTATAATATACATGCTGGATTCACTTCTAGTAGATGTCAATCAGATAAATTGTTTCGAGTGTCAACAGCGTCGATTGCTTACCATCAGGTGAAAATTCTGCTCGTTTATCGACCTTTCAAGTAGTTTGTAATTGTGCTCTCTTTTCATAGGAGATAGTCCTAGAGAGTTGGTTCAACACGGGCGGTACGATGCAGTTCACGTATGACGTCACACGGAACTTGGTTCCTGCGTTCGCTCCACCTAACAAAGTGGCTACCGAAGTTTACCAGTTACCTCGGTAAGTATTATTATCTTTTACACGTTAATACAGGGTGTAAAAAGACACTTAACGAAGCCGAAAGCCACGTATTCTACCCATTATTTGGATCATTTTTTTCTTTAAGACCATAGCTGTTTTGCTGTTGCGAATTAAAACGTCGACCTACGTACTTATCACGGCGTTTTAATACTAAGCTGTGAATCTACGCATACAATGACAGGAAGCCCGTTTGCTTTAAATTGCGCGCAATATTTTTTTTTTATACCTAAAAATAAAAGTCGTTTCCCAGTGATAATTTTAGCGTAAAGCTACTTAGTTAAAACTGCAGTATGCGTAGTTAACGGCTTCGTTAAGTGTCTTTTTACACCCTGTATATCTTCTTCTTCCAACTTAGTATTTGGCTGAATTCCATAGTTCACTGATTTAAATCCGGCTCGAACGGCTCGAAGGACCAATTTGTAGGGCGTAAATCGAACAAATAAATAGTAAAAACTCATGTGATAAAATATTCTATATTAGATATTTGGCAATGGGTTAAAGTATGAGTAAATGCAGCTTAGTCAGTGACCGATCGTTGAACATCTTTATAATAATGTTAATATTTAAACTAATTATTTGAGTCAGCGTGCAACATCTGATTGTGCGCGCTATCGATATAAAAATAAACTTTACTTTATACAACGATATTTCAGAAAAAAATACTTGTTGTAAAAATACTGTGATTCGGTTCTCTTTATCACCCCACTCCATTTTAATTTTGACATATTCCAAATTCAAATTAATATTTTGTTTATTTTTAATTTTAACAGTATTTATGGCCAGACTATGTAATTGTATATTTATTTTGTATATGTAATGTAATAAGAATATGTAATTTTATTTTATTCCATGAATACGTTTTCATCCTCCCCCGTGTAACAGATTATAACTCATACATTATCTAAACTCACCGGTTACACTCATTTGTTTCGCTCATTTGTTATTTTGCAGTTGTTACCTAATATTATGTATTGTGCAGTTGTTACCTAACAAAAATAATTCTCCAAACAGATTACTAGAGGCCTGCAAAATCCTAAACCTAGACTACGATGACGCGCGCCGTCTCCGAGCTTGCCTTACGAAACAGTCAGCGGCTGCGGAGGAACATTTAGATAATCATAAAATCCGCTTCATAACACCAGCACAAGTCCTACAGATCCTCAACCAGAGAACTGACCTCAGTGATGCTTCCAGCCCTTCGTCAGTAATGGAGTTGTTCTGAAGATACGAAGGAGGAGGCATCTAAGGAACTTGCCCTTAACGTATGGCATGTCCATCCATCGAACCACTATTTCAATCCATTGATTATTATCCTTTTTTAGCTGACACACTATTTATACTTCGTTTACTTCCATAAAGCATTAAAATGAAAAGTCCTGCGACCTCCCTAATATCTATTCTATACATATGTTGTCTTTCCGATGAAATTTATAATAAATTAATGCTACGGTCATACGGAAAAAAATTGGTGTTTACAAGTCTATTGACGAGAAAACTAAGTGTGGGAGACCCAAGGCCCAAGCTTCGGTACGAATGATCGGCTCGACCGGAGTGAAACCACGGTCTCACAGAAAACCGGCGTGAAACAACCACAGCGTTGTATTTCGCCATTTTACCGGAGGTCCATTCCTTCTGCTCCCCACTTCACTCCCCAATCCCTAAATTATTTTCGAAGCCTTAATCCCCAAAAGCCGGAACCGCATTCGTAACTCCTTTAGCGTTTTGGGAGTCCATGGGCAGCGCCTCTCACTTACCATCAGGCAATCAGTCTGATCGTATTTCCACTTATCACATAAATAACGCAGTTCCATAAGTCTATAGAACATCAAAATATGTTTATCCGATAATATGGCCGTAGCATTCGGAAGTCCGGACGCGGTAATACAATGAAGGTCGCAGGTATTTAGTATCCTAAATACTCCTAATGTTTCCGCGTCATATGATCCTTAACTCTTACTAATAACGTAATGTAGAATCTATGCACGTACCTACCTATCTAAAAATAAGGATTTAGTCGATAACTTGAAAAATGAGTATGATATATTAAAAAATGGCCTTATAAAAATAAATAACAATGTGAGCTTGATGGCCGGTTTACGGTTTTGTTGTTTGTCGTATTTAGGTTTTTATTTAGAAGTACTTACTATGAGTTTGATTTGTTAGTGGCCAATATTTTCATTCATGGTAAATCGTGAGTGAATTCCTAAACAGCTCGACCGATTTTAATGTTATTATGCTCACGTTTAAAGGTTCGACTGCACGGTTGGCACGGTGGCTGGGAAACTGGCTACCGCGCAACGTGTCGCAGGTTCAGTTTCCGCACGGAACAACTCTTTGTGGGATCCACAAATTGATATTCATGAAAATGTATGTTGGTACCTGCGGCACAGGAATAAATCCTAATGTCTCCACATTATTTTAATAAATAAAGTATGTCAGACCTCATTGAAAATCAAGTTTTCGTGTCTCTGAAGACTTAAAACTTATCGACATTATCCTTATTTCACAGCACAATCATTTTTTAAATTTACTATATCCGTGCTTTTCATAACCTTAATGTTATAACAATTGGAGTAACTAGTTGATTCGACGGCATTAGCTCGCGGCAAGTTCATTTAGAGAGAGAGTAGCCTCCTCCTTATAAAATCTTATTATGTATATTATTATGTACATACTTGTGAATTTACGTGTATTTGATGTCTAAAGTATCAACTATTTATCTTAAACTGGGTCTGCATTAGCGATTATAAACATCTACTTTGGTGATATTCGATTGAATAGACGCCTTATCTGTGATTACAACGTTACCAATATAATTTGTCGCTAGTGTATATCCAGCTCAATATTATGATGACCATTGAAAATCAACTCTACAAAAAGTTAGAGTCTAGAGTTTTTTTAAAAGGTATAATTCTAGGACACACATTTTTGACACACACGCATTCTAGGGCACACATATTTCATTGAAATTGTATTTTTTGTGTAAGCTTGTAAGGTCTTCCCTTCATATTCATTCCAAAAATTGTACTAAGATTTATTCTTAGGTAACTTTATTGAATGTGATGTGCAATATTATTAAATAATGTACCTATCTACGTTATTTATTTTTTGTTATATTCCCGCCATTTTTATTTTTCTGTTGACATTTAAATGTCGAACTCGAGTGCACACCACAGGCATTTTTTTACTTATTGTTTAAAATCGTAGTCTATTCGGACTTGTTTCGAAGTTGAAAATAATGTTTACATATGTGTTTTTTATCTCTTTCATCTTAATGTAAGAAGCAGCTCACTTTATTTTATAGTACTAAACCACTGTAAGAGTTTGATTTTTTAAGTGTAAGATTTTGGATATTATTTGGAAATACGGTTTAATTTTAAAAATATGGTAGGTATTGATGTTGCCTTGAATATTTCAAAAAGGGAATTATGGTATAAAATGTATGTTTATTATTATGTAAGTAGACGTGTTGGAAACACTTGGACTGAGTCTAATAAAATGTCTATTTTTAATCTGTAGAAGCTTATTTTAATTTGAAGCAACAACGCACACATTCTTCGGAGTGTATTGTAATATATAATGGAATAAAAATAAATTAATATATTTGTGTTTTTAAACGATTTTTTATTTTAACAAAATACAAGAATATTGTACAAAATAACTTACAAGTTACTATCTCAGTTAAAACAAGCAATGGAATCTCCATTCTTAGTCTCAGTACGACTTAAATACTAATTTAAAACTATAATAAAGCCGGCACACAGATCTCTTAAATGGCACAAAATGCACCCTGAAATCAAATGCATAGAGTATACCAAAATAAAGACTAACAAAAGTATATTTATATTGTGTTGTAAGTCAACAGAACATAGCATAGACAATTATTACTGTCTTAAAAATACAAAAATGGTGTAGTCCTTACGCGGTTATAAAAGTTTTGTTATAAAATTAAAATCAAAACCGAAAACATGTAATTAAGTGATACTGAAGATGAACCCTAGGATCTCTTGTATTGTTCATATTGTATCCCATTTACTTTTAACATTTACCTTTATCTAAATAGGTGCTTTTGTAGGTCTCTAATATCAAAAACCCCATGGTTATGTTCTTTCATGACTCACAATAAACAACAATAAATATATTTTTGTATCTTAGCACATTTCATTGCTATAAAAGCACTCACAACACGAACTAATTCCCAGAAAATGCACTCTAGTACAAAAGTTTATTATCCCACATAGTACTTGCGAAAATTCGAATTTGTTCACAGCCTTTTTTGCAAAAAATCCATTTCCACACAAAAACAAAGTGAACAAAAACAATTTATTTATCTCTGCAAATAAATATCTCCCCCACAAATATTTACAAATAAGCATTCATACTTCATACATAATATAACTAATACTTTGTCTATGACTACTTATAAGCTATTTAAACTTAGAATTACAGTCATCAACAACATCATAATACTTGTTAATAAATATTGAATTTCACGTTGAACCAGACTCATTCACTTTACTACTTGTGTAGCCTTCATTTGCCTAATAACAAAAAACTAATTAGCTACATTGGAATTATTTAATATTACTATCACATAACACTGGCTGTAGATTCAGTGAACCGCCTATTATTATGATTTAAAGAATTTCATAAAACGCTTACAGTTTGTACTATACATTTTTACACTCGTCGAGTTCAGTTATCTTGTCATTATTATATAGAAATGTCTTCACTACCACAAAACGTCATGTAAGTACGTCTTTTATTGTCTAAAGTACGATAAAGTATTTCCTTGGGCACTGCGTCTAATTAAATTATTATTATTATATTTACATTTTCTTCCGTAACGTTAACAGGAAAACGCCTAGAGCCTTTAGTTCTAGTCGAATATTTTCCTCATTTTTCGCGATTTGAACCAAATATTTTTTGTTGTCTGCTCTACAACTTGACCTCGGCATTGACGGAGTGGTTTGTTCCTGCCTCAGCCTCGCGTTGCTTCCTTGGGTCTTGCGTGGTGGTGTTCCACCATTGTTCGTCACCGGACGCCCACGCGACGAATACCAAGTTCGTGACGATGAACACGGCAAGAGCTATCCAGAACACCAGCCTCCATTGTACCAGCGTACTCTGAAAATGCATAAAAAATATTACTCAGTATGTAAACTCTAAACTCTTCTACCACCTTGTAATTCAATTACTTCCCCATGGTCTAAATAAAGCTAATCGTACTAACATAACAAACATCGGCCTCAAATAGGCAACGAGCGTTTATTTATATTCTAAAACACATTACGTTAAGTGGGCCAAATGTAAACATTATGGAAAGCAATAAGCATCGAATTTAGTGATTTCCATAACAGTCGAAGCCTTTTTGTTGCCAAAACCAATCTCAAGGACCCGTGTTCGATTCGCCAAAGTAAGCTTGCGTTGCGATACAATACGTAATTCGTTCCGGTACTTACATCAGGAGTCAGTAAGCCGACTAGGTATGGTGCGATGATGCCTGTAATAGCTCCTATGCCATTCACGATCGCCATTATGGTGCCAGCGTATTTGCCACTTAGGTCAAGCGCGTTCACTTTCATGCCAGGGTAGAAGGCTCCCATCAGACCCATGGACGCAGTGAACAAAATGACCACAGCTTCAGTGTTGCAGCCGGAGTATGAAGCGAGGATCATGCAGATACCAGGTCCAACAGATGCTACAAGAGAAAATTTCATTTATCTACACATAAAAGTGAAATTCAAATAAGAACGAAGTTAGTTAGCACAAAACTTAGTTACCAATTTGAAAGTACTTATTTAACTTTCAATGTTTTACGATCGCAATCATAAAACTATGCACTAACATTGCGAAATGTTAGTCAATTATCATAAAAGTATGCAAACAGTTTTACTTAATTAAACAAAGAAAACAATGTTATGGTGTACAATTAGCATGTGCATAAGTGTTACTTACCGATGGTGGTGAAAGTCTTTCTAGCGTTGGTGACAGTCAGCCAATTTCTCTTGACGATCTTGTCGCAAATCCAGCCGAATGCGATGGAACTCAGCCACATGACCGCGTAAGGTAGGGCTGCAAGCGTGCCTGTCCTATGGATGTCGAACTTGAGGACTCCTGTCATGTACTTAGGAAGGTCGGTCACCATCGTGAAGTACCCATAGTCGTGACCGATCTGTTGACAACGAATTATCATTAGTGTTGCAACAAGTAACATTAGCTGGTGAATTGATAGAATTAAGATCACCTTGAACGTGGTTTGTGGTTGTTTGGTTTATTTTTAAACTAAATCTATAAATAAGGTGATAAGTATTATGGTAGTTGAGTTCAAGTACCATGACACCATTATGTAATGTGTGCATTTCCAATATAAACAATGTGACCCCTCTTGAATATCTAAAAAGACAAAACAGAATTTCGCTTGCCAAGGTCCCACTTAAAATTTAAACAAGTTCGAATCTATTTAACTAGGTGGGCTCTTACCTTCTGGTGGTTTTTTAGCTAGGTCCTCTAGATTTTGAGATAGTACAAATTTTTCATGCGTGTTAGGACCAGATACGTCCTAGACTATATTCTGTTATTTTTTTAAATATAAGTATTCGGCAAAATATTCCAGCTTTTATAAATGGGCTAAACTGTTCTAGGGGCTCTTAGATAGGATCAGTTCTAGAGGTCCTACAAAGACTTATCCTTGTACCAATTCATTCTAAAGCAAACCTTCAAGTCTGATATAAACAGTGATAAATTACGTCTAGAACAATTTAAAACAGGTAACCTATTGATTTCGCCTCATAACAATATACCCAATGACGTAAATCTGAAAGAGTCACAACAGTTGGGTTTTTTAGATAGGTAGGTGTAACGATCTACGCAAGCCAGCAATTATAAAACCGAATGCGGTTCCCATATGCAGCTAACAATAAGCCTTTAACGATCAAATTTCGTCTTGTTCATGTTTAGCACACAATAAGCAGTTATGCTAAGCTGATGAACTTAATGACTTGATGATCTAGTCGTACACTCCTTTACTAAACCTCGTTTGTTTTGAATTAGGCGAAACTACACGTGTGTGTGTTTACATGACGAGCACGTGAATGATTGAGTAAGCTAGAGTTTGATGTGAACTTGGTATGACTACTAATTATTATTGTATCCCCAATTCATATTATTATGTTGAAGATATAACTGCTTAGGCTCTTTGGGTGTTTGACAGGATACAGAGCTGACTTATATGTATAAATAACCCTTTATAAGAGTTGGTAAACACAGGGGAAAGTTTAATTTTTTATATGTAGTAAGAGGTCACGTGACAAAATGACATAATAGGGTAATTCGAATTTAGAAACAATCTCACACTTTATAGCCTTTTTATGAGGTTTATTGACAATTCGTTTGTAATCTAGGTTTTTAGCTACTGACAAAATGCTTAGAAAATAAATTTTATTCGGAACGTAGATAATTTTTTTGAAAAAATAGTAGTTGCAGTAGTGAGCAGTACTCTTATTTTTGTTACTTCTTAAATTCTAATAAATTATGCAGTAAAAATCATAAGACACAATAAACTCGTATTAAAATTATCTTTCTCAAATTATCTTTCTCAAATTATAAGTGATTACTCAACTATACATATATCAAAGAACACGTAGCTAAAACACGATTCATAAATAAATTCAATGACGTATCCTCTGCAGCCATTCTTTATTTTGTTCCGTTTTATTTTGTTCCGTTCGTTAACTGCTCTGGAATTCATTTTAAGCCTAATATTTTTACTGGCAACCTCCAAACTTGGTAAGTAGATACCTCAACGGAATAATGATGAAGAGAGACGCGCGAGTCTAATATTAATGTAAGTAACAATTTAACAAAAACTTAGTTCCTGAATTACGTACTAACGAGATTTAGGAAACAGACCAAGGTGATAGAGATTAGTGCAACAGAAATTGTACTCACGGCTAATAAATACACGGTTAAGCAAATCCGTTCAAGGTTATATTTGCAACAAAATTTTATAATGTAGGTGGCTAGGTGGTAAACAACTTGGCTATCTACCTACAGCTAATATAAGATGGGACAGTTTCCGCTACACAAGTACCTCGGAAATATATTGGTTCTCATCTCTCAATTGTAAATATGAATTGATAACATCCATTGAAATAATCGTTATGAGTGAAAGTAGCTATACAATAGATTTGTTATTATACTAATTTCAATAATACGGAAGGACTGTAGTAGCAGGTGGAATGGGCAAGATCGACTTCGTGACATCGTGCTCGGATCGTGAAACATGCATTGGTTTTGTTATATTACTAGATACTGTTTGCGCGGTTTCACCTATTAGTCGTAAGGAGATTGTAGCACTTTATAACTTATAACAATCAGGATCATTGTACCTAGGTATCTGTAAAAGAGTTTTGGAAATCTGACCAGCGGTTCGAAAGATTACGTCCTACATACAAATTTATAAGTTAAACATTTTACCTCTTTATAATATTAGATACTAGCTATTCTCGGGCGGGTTCACTCGCTGCTCGGCTCCATTTGATCGGAGCGTGATGTTTTATTCCTATCGCATTGAACATTGTAGCTATCTATCAGTAAAAGAATTTCTAAAATCCGACCAGCAGTTTAAAAGATTACCCCCTACATACAAACTTTAAAACTACACGTTTTATTTATTTAATATAAAATCATTAAAAGGATGGCAACGCCCTTAAAAATCTTCAGGGTTGTAAGTGCGAACAGACTTCTCTTTTGTCGCCCCATAAAATAAAAGTTAAAATTACCTGAGCGCAAACCAGGGCCCATAGTGGGACAGACATGAAGATGGCTTTCCAGGGTATAGCCGATGGAAGACTGCTGCGGTGACTGCCTAGCGCCTCTTCAAGATACTTCTTCTCCTTGTCCGAGATGAATGGATGAGACTCAGGGTCGTTGTAGCAGAGGATCGCCTAAAAAAATAAAATAATAATTAAGAAAATATACAAAATAAAATAAAAAAATTACGAGACTGACGAGTTTACTTAAATTAATTAAAGTAATTAAATTTTAGTCTTATCTATAAATTAATCAATAAGGAACCACTTAATTGCTTTCAAGTCAGAACGGCGACTGTTGAGTACGATTTTATTTTAAAAGTAAAAACTGGTAATACTACAGTAAATAAGAAATTAATTAAAATGTTCCTTATCTATAAACCTCGTACAATATACTTAAACAACTTTTTTTTCTTTTGGTGGGAAAATCATCAAATGACTTCTCGCCCAGGGTATGGCGGGAGGGAGTGTCTGACTATTACTGACTAAAACCCCCCTGTTCCTCCTGCCCTGAAGCAGAAGACCAAAGAGGTACATTGATGCGCTTGACTCGTGCCCCCGGATAATACCTACTTGAAGCAACTGCGAAGTTTTTTTGGTCGTTTAAGAACCAAAACCAATAAACAAACCGAAGAATCTAAAAGACTTACCCAAAGAATGAACCACAGGATACCGATGGCACCAAAGAGGTAGAACACAGATTGCCATTCCCCAGTCTCCTTGATGACCAATCCTGATAGGTAAGTTCCGGCGATGTTGCCAATCTGTGCACCTCCGAAGACTAGGGATCCCATTCGTCCTCGTTCCGATATCGGCGCCCATCGGGCAAGCATCGCGTTTAGTGCAGGAAAGGTGAAGCCCTGTGTGTATAATTATTATTGAGTGACATTCCTATTGAGTGGTGTATTATAATAGCGTGATGTTTTGTAGCCTATAGCCCTTTCAGGAACATTGTAGCTATCTATTAGTGAAATAACTTTGGCAATCCGACCAGAATTGTGAACCAAAAACGAAGGAAAAATTTTCTTTAATAGGTAGGTCCTTAATTCTGGTAATTTGTTGGTTTGAAAAAAATGCTTAGATTCCGCGCTAGACAATTTTTAAATTAAGAAATCGTAAAGAATGTGTTGATCGTAGCCTTACCTCTCCAAGACCTTCGAGCACCCTCAAAATGATGAGGCCAGTAGCTCCACCAATATGGACAGTCCATGGCGTCAGTAAAGTGAAGACTGCAGTACTAAGCACTCCGAAACCAAGAGAGTATTTCCCTCCAAATCTTTCCGCCAACATCCCACCAGGCAAATGGGTTACTATGTACCCGTAGTAGAATGCACTCAGGATCATACCTTGCGTCGCTTCGTCCCAGTCGAAACCTGTCAGTTCCTGAAATCCATAAACAAATTAGTTTGAAGCAATATTTGATGCTGTACCAGGAACTGGACAAATAAAGCAGTTTTGATTTCTGCATTTGTGTGATCTATTAGTTTTTTTTTTTTTTTTTGTGAGGGGAAAATCATCAAATGACTTCTCCCGCCCAGGGCCGGGCAGGAGGGAGTGTCAGACTCTTACTGACTAAAAACCCCCCTGTTCCTTCTCCTGCTCTGTGCCGAGGTCGCGGTACCTTATTGCGCTTACCCCGCAACCCCGGCTGAACATCAGCCCTTTAGGGCCCCGTCTGTGGTGGTCTATTGGCTCTTTGAGGCGCGCGCGGAACGCTACGCGCCGTACGCTCGGGCCTGGTTCTGGTCGGGCGGCGAGCTGCCCTTACTCGCCGACCGCAGGCCCGTACTTACGGTGGCCGAAGATCGTCCCTCGATCCCCGACGCCCGTAGTGTCGCCAGTTGCGGCTGCTGGGGCGTGAGGAGGAGGATTGCTCCCTCACGCGGGCCGCCTCTCTCTTTGCGAGCATGACTGCTTCACAAAAGGAGGAGACGGCGTCCCAGTTCCTCTCACTCCGCACCATGGCCTCGACTAAGGCCGGGCGCGAGAGGTCGCCGCCGCCGATCACTTCCCTGAGGATACGGCGGTGCTCAGCCCAGGCAGGGCATACCGCTACCGTATGCTCCACCGTATCCTCTAGGTGGTCCTCACAATGACGACACTCGGGCGTTTCCTCCCGCTGAATCCGAAACAGGAACCTACCGAAGCTGCCGTGCCCGGTAAGCACCTGCGTCAGACGGAAGGTGAGGACGCCGTGGCGTCTCTCAAGCCACTCCTCAAAGAGGGGTCTTACCGCTGCTATGGTAGCGTGCCCGGCCCTCGGTTGCGACAGTCGTTGTCTCCACTCTGCCATGAGTGTGATCTATTAGTTGCTGTTCCAGTCTGTATACGAGCCGTTCATCATCATCAGTAGCCAGTAAGAGCTTATCTACTGCTGAGCCTCTTCTCACATGGAGAAGATTTGAGCATTTATCACCACGCTTGCTCAAGGCGGATTGGCGATAACAAACTTGTAAGTCCAGGTTTCCTGACGATGTTTTTCTTCACCGTATGTCATTAGTGCCTACATTTTCATATAAAGTATACGAGCGCATATCTGGCTATACCGTGATAGTGTCAGTATTAGTAAGAGTAAAGACCAAATAACTCAATTCAGTTTGTATTTAAAAATATGTTTATTCTAAACAAAAATCGTACAGGTCATACATAATACCAAATATTATATAACTTATAGTCTAGCACAGCTATAGAGTAATCCATTCAATTACAATCTTTAAAACATTTAATTCTACGAGGTCGTAAGTCGTGATTATTATTAGATAATCAAGTTCAGGCAATGATTAATAAGGTCAGTCACCTTTGTTGTTTATATAACAACGTTGTGTTACATTGCATTATGAAGAACATGAACCGTTTGTAATATTAATGTCCACGAAAATATTGCCTTTGTTCCAATGTTGTTTTTGTTCCCTGGGGTACAAAAAATACAATAGCATTTATTGTAGACAATAGACAATCTTTATGATCACCTCAATGTCCATAGATTTCAGCCCATTTTCCCAATGTTTGGATAGCCATTATGCAACCGACAAATTCGAATATGGAACGTAATTTTCACGACCGACCGTTTCGGGTTTATATATCATGTCCAAAATGTAGGTCTGATCAAATTGAGGATAAGTAAAGGCCAGCAGGATTAAATTTTACTAATACGCCTTACCTACACGAGAATTAAAAAGCTTATAGTGTCTGCGTGATTACCGGAGCCCCGATCCTACCTACTCTCCCCCAATACTTTCTTCCCCAAAAGGTCGGTAACGCACACATCGTACTCTTCCGTTGAGCGGGTATCAATTGAAGACGCCGATTTCTTACCAACGTTGTTCGGGGCCTGGCTGCAAAATTGGATGTTTGTCCCACGAAAGAGAAAAAAGTGGTCGTATGCGACAAAGTTTATAACAAATGTACTCACGGTGGTGTCAGTTCCTTCCATATGAATATCATCGATGTCACCAGCGGGACAAGACCCGTCATTGCCTGCAGAATGAGAGGGCCGGTGGACCATTTGTGTAATGGCTATGTTTAAACAAACGCGCATCGTGTACGCGTTGGCGACCGCTAAGAACCCCATGATTGCCATCACCCATCTTTGAGGTATTATAAATACTGTAAAGAAAGAAAAAAAATATTCGTTAATGACACATTGAAAAAAATTGCGTAATTATAGTCAAAAGTATTAAAAGGTGGAAAATTATTCTGCAGATAATATCACCAGTAGCCGAAAGATGTCCATTGCTGAACGCTTAGGCTGAACGACGGTCCTCTAAGAGTTTTCAGAGAAAGTATGTAGTTTCTTAGTTTACTAGGATATGTTGTTAATGTTCTTAAGTGATGAAGTTACTTTGGTGAGTTGGCAGTACTTACAAACTCAAGTTAGCGTATTACTCAACAATTGACTGCACCGAGTAGGTACCCAGTTGTTGTTAATTGAATAAACAGAAACAGTAAGTAGGTAGGTAACCAACACTTCTATGAAAACTAAAATGGAAAAGACTTATCTTAAGTAAACAAAAAACCGAATTGTTTATACTTCAAAGTAAAATTGAAGTTTCAAAAACCGCGGAACAGTTTTAAACCTGCCCATAAACAAGAGTTATAGGGAAACCATAGTATCAATTTAATTTTTTAGGCGTTTCGAATTACAACCTCGTTTCAGATTTGCATAAGAGTCTTAAGTAAAGTTGTTGCTGCTAGCATATACCACGTAAATACTAAATTCTTAACTATTTAGGTAAGTCTAGTAATAAATTAATAGATAACCGACAAATGAGATTAATGAATCGTAGGCACGCAAAAAATATCTTGTTACGAATATTTTTTGCGCCATAATTTAAAACTGTAATTAACGATTACAATTTGAAGTAAATTGCCCTTGTTAATTAAATGTATATGTACCATTATGTTATTATTGTTTGAATGTGCGAAGATAAAGTGGGTAACCTTGACTTTGTTACGCAACCTCTTTAGCGAATTAAGGAATGCACTTCACTGATTGTGTAAATATCCGAGCGAGAGTGCAATCGGAATATTTCGAATCCGACCATAAAAATTGACCAAAATATAAGTAAGTAGGTCTTTGACGTTCCACAGTTTAAAAATAAATTTTATTTGCTGACTAACGACTAGAAAGTTGACGTCCTTTTTTGTCATGTGTTTTTTTTTTTGTTTATTTACATTACAACTGCAGCGATCGTTAAGTTACGCAATCCATGTTAGGGTTTATGTAATTTTAACGAGACCGATTGCTAACCTCGATTAGTCATTTGTTTATCCTACTTATCTATTCGTTTTGTAATTTGTATTTGGAATTTGTTACTGTACCTACATATTTTGACGTTTATTTCGACCAGTATTCTTTTTAACGATCCTTAGGTTGAGGCGCTAATTTTTTTTTCCTTTAAGTATGTTTTTTTTTTGTGCATGGCCATTTTTCATATACTTTTCTTTTTTAAGAGTAACGTAATTGATACTTATGTATGTACCGAAATGTGCGTAGATTTTTCACCTTATATAAACTTTAACAAACTAGATTTCCTTGAAGTTTATCAAAAAATTTGCTTTACTTAAAATCAGAGGCATAAGCAAGCAAATAAATTAGGTTCAAGGAGTTGCCCCGCAATGTTTGGCATGTGTGAGAAACACGAAACAATGAATTTATTTTTTTAAATAGGCCATAAAATGATAAAAACTAGATGAAACCGGCATTCACTATCTGACTACTCTGAGACTGAAATCTCCGTCTTATAAAGTCCAGACAATGTAAAAAAATATATTAAGTGTGAGAGCTGTGCAAGTGTATTCTGTAGTAGTCTTTTGAGAAAAGAAACACACCAGTTAATTATTGCTACTGATAACTCGTATGTTTGAATTAGCGACATACAATAGTGTTCTTTAAGTAACTGTCGATTAATCACTACCTACTATTGCTCACAATAACCAACTGAACGAAAATTTAAACATGATTATTCTCAAAACTTACTAAAATCAAGACAAAACAAACCTAAACACATCTGCAACAGAGTTTAAATTACACAATTCATTACGAAACTTATGACCTTTTAGTTCTATAACTTTGAACGCACTGTTTTTGATCCGACATACAAATTTTAGCCATTGTTAAGTTATCCGTGATTTGCAGTGGAACGGAAACCGTTTTCTATCAATGTCGCAGGGTCACCGGCGGTCGAAATATCATTAGGAAAATGCAGCCAACCATGGTTGAATGCAACCTCAAAATACTGAACAATGCTTAGCTGATCTCCGTCTGATTAGCAAAACCCCACCCAAATCTCGAGTTCAATAACCTTTAACTATAGAATTTGGAACACGTGGAAACCTGTGAAACTGTAAACTGACTCTTTTTGTAAAATGTTTTATAATAAATCTGATCACAAAAGTTGTGCCTGTCGAGTGCATTGTTATTACCGATCCAATTTGATGTGTAGAATAAAATTATTTAAATGGATCTCTTGTACGCAATTCATTTCAGACGACCTGTTTGAACACACACATGTTTTTGTTTCTCTAGATCAAATTATTTTCTCTTTCATTAACCAAGGATATTAGTCAAACAAAGTATAAAAACATTAAGTTAATTCCAACATTAGATCTACAGTAAACCATATATATGTATACACTTTTGAAACATCAAAATAAAATAATAATCCGTCAGCCTATCAAGGCTAGAGTGAATAGGCTCTTAATAAACTAGTACGCCTTATCATCAACGATTGCATCACTGCTTACCATCAGGTGGGATCGCAGTCAAGCACTAGTTTATTGCAAGTAAAAAAAAGAAGCTAGATGCTCTTTTTAAAGCATAGATTTGAAAAGAGAAGACCGGGGAGAAGACAAACAAGGAACTCCATCGTTACACTTAAAAAAATAATAAAATAATGTTAGTTAAGTATGGGTACTCCTATATGAGTAACGAATTTTAAAGCTTAGCAGTAATTTAATAAATTAGATTTGCTCCTACAAACTGACAACGAAAATAACCGGCAATTTAAAACTAAACAATAGATATATAACAACAATACACAATGTGCCACAACGCGGAACTTCCTGAACGCCTTAAAACTTCGGAATTATTTTTAGACGTTAAAAAAAATTGCAGGAAACATGCGTCATACTTAAATACATTTCTAACGGGTCAAAACAAAAGGTATAATTGCGAACATTCCCAAGGAATCTCAAGGTAAACAGTAGAATTATGTCATACGGTATCTCTAAGCATGTGATAATGCAATTATTTTAATGTCATGTGCAGGTAAATAGTAAATTACTAAGCGGAACTTTACGTAAATGTGGGAGAGCCATGCTTCGGCACGAATGGGTCGGTTCGACCGGAGTGATACCACGGCCTCACAGAAAACCGGCGTGAAACAACCACGGCATTGTATTTCGCCGAGTGAGTGAGGTTACCGGAAACCGAATTCTTCCCCTCCCCAAATCCCTCTCCAATCCTGAAATCTCCTTATCCCTAATCCCCAAAAGGTCGGCGATGATTGCTTATCATCAGGTAACCCGCTTGCTCGTTTGCCGCCATATCACATAAGATTAGATCCGCTTGACTTGTGCAAGCGAAAGGCAACCTAACGTGAAGTTAAACAAACTAAAAGAAAACACAGTGAGTGAACATACCAACTATTCCTAGTTACAAGTTTGAAATTACCAAACCGCTTTGTGCGATCGTGGTGATAAATTCTACAGCTCAGACCTTCTCCGTGTGAAAAGACCTTTGCTTAGCAGTGAACACTTAAAGGCTGGTGATGATGTGATTAAATCAAATTATCTGATAAAGTAACACTTCCCACTTGAAGAGACAAAATGTCATAAGTAATTACAATTAGCTCTTTATAAATACGGACAATGGACGCAGGCGAATGAGGTATAAATTGTTGATAATAACTTTGCGATCGGTCGGTTTGTCATCGCATTGTTGGGCAGTGGTTCGTGACGGATCTGGGAGCGCAGGACACGTTTCGATACCATGTTAACAGTATCTAGTGTAATTGCTTCGAATCGAAGAAATATTTGCTATTCGACTTATAAACGCGAAAGGTTGTTATTGATTATTGTTTGTTTACTCATTATCGTAAAACTACTGAATGGATCTCAATCAAATTTGGCAAAGTGATAGATTATCGAATAATACATAGGCTACTTTTTACCTGGTACTGCGGATAATAGAATTTATAAAGTAATAAATATTTGAAATACTCCAATAGTATACACACGTGTGTTCTTAAAGTAGATGTAAATCATCATCTTTTTTGGGTTTTATCTTTCGTTTTCTACTTTTTTTTATAAAAAAAAAGTTTGCCCCACATTAGGATTTTCTCCTGTGTCGTGGGTGCGGATACAAACATATAATTTCACAAACACATGACATCCAGACCCGGAACAACAATTTGTGGATCTCCCAAAGAGTTGTACCGTGCGGGAATCGAACCCGCGATACGTTGCACGGCAGCCAGTTGCCCAGCCACCGCACCAACCGTGCAGTCTAGTCCGTACTTGAACTTTTTATTTAATTATCTTCATTCGTATTGTAGATAGGATTTAAACATCTAATACTAAAGTAGAGGCCTTTACTATTAGAGCAAGACTTAGTTACATGAAAGAAAAATTCTCCACATGCATCGAATTGAATCGGAAAGTAGCCCAAACAAAACGGACCTCTAACTTAAGATAGAATACCAATAGAGATTCTAAAACAAATGCACTTTTATTAAAAGGAACGTGTAAGATAACTTTCCGTTGCATCTAATGGGTAGTTAAGTGGCAGTAATTATCCATTTGAGTTAACCAAGTGCATCTATTGACACACTAATTGTTAAACGAGCTAAGGTGGATAAACGAGGCGTTAAAACGATCCTGTCTTGAATAAAATATCAAGTCAACACTTTCCATTTGAATGCCAAAGTATCTTGTAACATCTATAGTAAGTGCCTTTTTCGTGTAGAGAAAAATCAAGTGTGGGAGAGCCATGCTTCGGCACGTATGGGACTGCTCGCTAATAACCGACAAGAGGCCGGCAACTCACTTTTCGTCCTACGAGTGACCATGGGCGGCGCTGACGACCATTACTTAAAACGCGTTCA